CAGAGGTCAAGGTTTCTCCACCTAAGTTCGACTTGGCTGCTACCAATTTCCCACCTCTTCCCGGCTGCGTGGTCAGCACACAAGGGGAACCAGTGCTAGAAAACCGAATGTCAGATGTTGTACGTGGTCTGTACAGGGACAAGGTAAGAAAGCCAGACTTACAGTTATAAGACATACTGCACTGAAAGGATTCTTGAAAGACTTCAGGAGAGATTTAAGGTGAATGCCTCCTTGCTTTTTTACAGACGGATCAAGCCAATAAAGAAGCCACTGTGAGTCCAGCATCAGTCCAAGCCTCAGTCCCAGAAGAGACTGTGGCCGTCTCAAGTCCCACCCTGGCAGCAGCAAAATCCGTTACACAACCACTTGGACCCTCAGCCCCTGGGTACGACTTCCTCAATGGTTTTCATGTAACTCAGGCCTTAGATGTCTCTATTAAATTTAAAATGTTAATGTGAATTTTTGAAACTGTTCTGACAGGAATCGTAAGGAGAAGAGGGTTGAACGGGTAGAGGTCACAGCACCTAAAGCAGCAACCCCACACGCACCAGTTCAGACTACTGTTAACCCTTCCTCCTCCACACAACCTGTGCCTAGCTCCAGGCCTCAGCCATCTGCCGCCTCCACGCCAGTGACGCCCACCACGCCAGTGACGCCCACCACGCCTGTGACGCCCACCACGCCAGTCCCTGCTGCAGCCACTATTCCAACCCCTGCACAGGTGAGAGTCTGATTCTTTGCAATGAGAGCCAACACTTGGTGTTGTTGTCCACCTGATGATGACATCTTTTGCGCATAGAGGGAAGTGAGGTAGTGATCTGACTGGCTTTGGTTATTGCTTCCTCTTTTCTTTTTCTTACCTCTCACTCTTCTTCAGTAATTCTTTCTATTCTTCCCCTTTTTCTTTCACACCACAAGTCCAGAATGTTCACTCCGACCCCAATGAGCGTTAAGATTATGAGATCTGAGGGTTTCATTATTAAGTTAAAGTATAACTGGGATTGTGTGCTATATATTTTCAAAATTGTGCTTTTTTTCCTGTCCTGGTTTAGGAACCACGTAAGCTCAGCTATGCAGAGGTGTGCCAACGGCCACCCAAGGACCCTCCCCCTGCTGCTCCTGCCCCAGCTTCCTCCGGCACTGCGCCGGGTCAGCCGCTGCGCGAGCTGCGCGTGAATAAGGCTGAGGAGCCGGGCTCCAGCGGTGGTCCTGGAGAAAAGCAAGAGAAAGGCCACGACAGGGAGGGGGGGTGGGAATGCAAGGAGAGCCGGCCGGCGCGTGAACGTGACTCTCAAGGCTACTATCGCAGCAATGGCCCCAGAGGCACCGGGGGCCTCAAGTTTCGGGACCAGAGGCGCCCGCCTCCGGCTCGACGCAACTCTCCCCAGGGAGGCTACAGGCACACTGGCAAAGAGCAGAATATCCCACCAGTTTCGCCAAAGTAAAAACTTGATATGAATCGAAAATATATGTATGAATATACATGGATATATATAATTATATAAAAATGAATAACATAAAAGCAACAACATTAAGGTAGCCACCTTCCCCCCTGGAACTTGTCCAATGAGAAGCTTCTAAAATGACAGTAAGACCAGGACATCCAGGACAAATGGGCAAAATGACACCTGAAGAACTTTGACGAGTGATTTGAAAAGGAAACAAAAATCTTTGTTTTGGCCTCCAGCGTTACGCTTACAGAATTAAGTGCGATTTATCTGGATGCCGTCTCATTTGTGCTCTGCTGGGGAAAGGTGGGATGCTGGGCCGCGTAAATGGCCCTCTACCTTTTTTTTGATTTAAAAGAATAGATGTTGGTCTGCAAGAACAATATGCACTAAGAAGAAAAGAACATGCATATTTGTCATGTACATATACAAAGATATCACTAACACGCAATGAGACATCAGTTTTTCGTTTTGTTTTGTGTGCTTAGGGTTGCAAGTATGACTGAAGGGTTGACTGATGTCTGTGTATGCATTGATAGTGAAACAAAATGATTGAAGTGCTACAGTGTGCTGTTGCACTGACAAAATGAAATGGAAGATTTTTTTGATTTTTACATCAGAGATAAAGAATCATTGTCCTGAACCTGGACAGTGTGGTCTTCTAATGTATAATGATGAAATGTGTTCTATAGTGGTATTTTGATCCTGGTTCATGATTGGCTTCAACTGTAACAGTCAGATATCAGAAACGTTGATGTTCTCCGCAGTCAGATGTGTGGTTTTGTTCGAAGCCGAAATCCACTTTGGGGTGCTCACTGGCCTGTCAGCCACGGTGAATCTGCTAGCCTGGTCCAAAGTTTTTTATGTTTCAGTTTTATCTTTGCTATCTATCTGAAATGTTTTGGGTGTACCCACTCCAATGGATTGAAATTGTCATGTTGATAATCAGTCAGATTCTCTGTTTACATGTTTGTTTGGGTTGTAGGGTGATGTATTTCATCAGAGAGCGCGGAGAGAGAGAGAAAAAAAAGACTAGGTTAAAGGTAAGATTCAGTGCGCCTGGTGGCTTAGGTGAAGTTTGGCTTTTCTACATCATCACAGGATATCCAGGTTAAGCTTATATCTGTGAATTGTTCTTAACAATGGCATAGTGTCAAAAATAGACCAAGGAGTACTGTTAGCTGAGGATGATTGCTTCGTAATATTTGGCAGTCGTGATTATAAAGACAATTGGAACATTTTTCACGTGGTATGTGCCAGCTGCCTACGATCGTAGTGTGCTAGGATACGGTTTCGATTTTTCGAGGTCTGCTGAATAATGTAGTCTTGGGGAAACTTTTTGGCCCAGTGAAACTTGATTTTGAAGAAGCTATAGAAGTGTAGTTGCCTATGCTATATTATAACCCTTCACTAGAGATGTGTGTGGGAGAATGTAATTGTTCTAGTTGAGAAATTACAGCGGGAGGATTTTGACAGCAGGTTATCCACCTGGTTGTTTTGTGCTTTTAGGGTGAGTTTGCTGTGTTTTTTTTTTTTCCCCTTTTCTTTTCTTGTTTTTTTTTTTTTTTAACTTTTGAAAAACAAACAGGTTGACTTAGAATTTGAAGTTTGACTCACTGTATGTATTGCTTTTTAAGTTTATTTATTTTAATTCTGATGCACAACGCTTTTCTCCCAATCTTGGTAGGCTGGTTTCCCCAAAGTTGTGTGAAATCGCATTGGCAAAAATAAAACTCACACATATGACATTTATTTACTGTTCCGAGATGTCAGCTGAGAGAAAATACTTGATGCATTGACTTTGGGTTTAGTAATGCAGTAAACAAATAACCAATCACTGGGGCTGTTATTTCTTTTTCATTAATGAGTATGAGCAGCTAGTGATTTAGTCTAATTAAATAATGCACTAACTTGTTTTTAAAAGACTCTTACCTCTGAGTAAGGTGAAATCATTTTAGAAGCATATGGTTGATGTTGACAGGCTTGCAAACACCATCAAGAATTGCTTCTCCCCTCCATATGTTTGGGTTATTTTCTGTTAATTTGGGTTGTGGTGGCAAAAAGGAAATATAGTAATGGATAAACCAAGTGTTTGAGACACAATCCTAGAACTGTATGAAATGTCACCAAAAATAAATTATTTTGATTTGGCTCTCAAGCGTCATTTCTTTTCCCACCTTGTCTTTTGTGCATGATTGACACATCAGTGTGTGAATGGGTTGGAACCCAATGGTCTGTATGTGATGTGATTGTTTTCTTTGTTTAACCAACTGTCTTTTGTATGCATCCATGAGTGAAATTCATTGTTAGAAGTATCTGAGAAGTGTAAACTTGAGAAGGAAGGGTAGGGAAAGGAAATCCAGCAAAAATGTAGCTTGGTATCTCAGGTCTGGCAAAAGAATTTGGGGTTAGTTTTGGTGTCTTGAAACGAGGGTAAAGCTCAGGCTCTGATTTCTGTTTGTGCCCATTTGCAGGTTGGAGGCTTCTAATATTACAAATGAACACAGGGCTGGGGGATAACACAGTATCAATTATCAAGATATCATTTTCATTATTGCCATACAACAAGCCCAGTAATATATTGGTTATGAATTGTGCAAGAACAGTGAGGAGCTGAAACACATAATTGGTCTACCTCAGATTTGTAAAATCTTTTGCTGTTTATCAAGTGTTTGTCATTGTCGGAAGAGTTTAAAACAACAATCTTCACACTTGAGCAAAAATCAGATTTTAAACTTAAAGAAATAATGTGACGATCATGATAATTATGGATATCAACCGATATCAAGCTTTTTATCTTGATATAATTTTTGTCCGTATCGCCCAACCTGAATTGCAGCTAAAGATCTCCGTCTCAATGAAATTTTGATTTATCATGTTGGATCCATAGAATGTAAGAAAATTGTGGAAAATTGTTATTACAATTTACTGCGGTCCTTATTGACGTCTCCATGCAAAAATCAATGTGGGTTATTACCAAGTAAGACAAAACTTTAAAGAGTCACAAGCCTGAAAATGTAGCGAACATCTGTGGCTCTGAGAACTCTCCAAATCTAAATAATGAGATAAATTGATGTTCATAGTCCAATATTCAACATAAATCATTGCAACATGTTTTTCTTGTTAATTCGTTTCTGTCCACAGTCACAAACAGAATAGAACAGAGCTCATCAGTCCTTATGAAACCTCATTTAAATTCACTGGATCCCACTTTTTATTTGCATCTGCACCAAATTGCACACACTCATTTATATCAGTCCCCGAAACATGCTCGGGTTTCTTCCAATCGAGAAAAAATTAACCCTTCTCTGAGAACAAAAGGAAAATGCTAAAAAAAATAAACCACTGGCTACACTAAAGAAAAGAAAATTCTGGATCTGCCACCTCACAATTTAATGTGTTGTTGCTTTGGTCATTTTTCTGCTTATTCCTGCGGACAAACAGACACAGATGAAAATATAACCACCTCCTGAAGGTAACTGACTCCACAAACTGTCAGGGTTAAAGGTCACGGTTTCTCTCAGCTGTCCACCAGGGGGTGCCTCTGGCTCTGCCGGGCCCTGACCCCTCTCTACCCTGTGATGTGTCACCAGCTGTCTCTGAGCAGGACGTCCCGTCTCTACATGGACATGAGCTGGAGGTATTTCTGGTATGCTGCTGCCGCTGCTGGATCCCTGCACCGCTGACGTTACATTACGTGTCTATACTGGGATCGTGCGTGCACCGGGGGGGAGTCACATCTTCCCTGAGAGCAATCGAGTCAAATACTGACTTGAACACGTAAGTTAGTGAAAGTTCACCATCTTTGTCCGGTGGGGATTCAATCCGGGGGAGGAGGAGGGCGTGGCTGCGGTGATGACGGGCTGTGTTTATGTCAAACCTCGCAGCAAACGCTCGGTCACCAGACGAACCTTCAGCGCGCGGACAGAAAACGGTACGTTCTCTCCGCATGGTCCCGCATTTATCGAGGCTGGATGTCGAGGACATTTCAAAGAGCCCCCACAAGGATTTATTAAGTAACGTCATTTCATTTCCTTTCCGCCCTTTAGTATCAATGTCCCTACGCTAACGTTAGCTCGCTACCTAGCTAGCTAGCTTGGTGCTAGCAGCTGATGAAAATGTCGCCGGGGGATCTTGTTATTGTTATTATTCAGAAGCAGCCCGTCGGTGTGGTAACCCAGCGGCTCCTCTCTCCTCTCCTCACATTATACTCATTGCATCAGTCACTTGGTGTTTAACTTGCATCCCTGTTGTTTTCTGTTGTTGTGGCGCTAACGAGCTAACGTTAGCTGTCGGTGTCATTTTATAATCATAATAATAACAGTATCGGTGATAAACTTGATTTTTATAGCGCCTTTCAAAACGCTGTTACAACTGTTTACAAGTGCAACATGAAAGATTGAGTTAAACAGCAAACAGTTAGATTCAATTTAAAGTTATTTGAAAATCACACAGCAATAGAGCTCAGTATATAAAAATAAACATGTCACAGATGAGAAAAGAGTAAAAACTGATGTAACAAAACAAATGTAAAATCAAAATAGGTTTATTGACATGGATGTAATTATTCTGACTGTTAGCTGTTGGGTGACTGTGGGTGAGTAGTAACAGCAGATAAACAGATAACACCTTCACTGTCTACTGTAGATAAAGGGTTGGAAGCTTGTTTGCCATCACTTTACAGCCTTAGAATCTGTTGTTAACAACAATAAGTACTATTTAAAGCAAGACTGTTACCCCCTTTATACAATGTGAATTTAAAACATATTTTTTTCCTATTAATAACATTCTGTTTTCAGCTTAGATGATTCTGTAGTGCCAATATTCAGTTACTTTAAATTAAATACAAAAGTTGAATATGAGCATATTTATGTTTGTCTATTGAGAAAGTATAACATTGCAAAACCACACATGCATGCATTACTGTGTTAAAGCAACATGTAACTAAATACCTCAGCCAAGGCCCTAAAGTCCCCAAAATAAACTACATTTAAATTCACTAGATCCAGATTTTTATATGGATCTGCACTAAATTGCAGACACTCATGAATATCAGTCCCCTAGCATCTGCACATCCTGACATTATGTGAAAATGTGTTATAGATTTGATTCTGGTATTTGTTTTATGCTAATGAATGTTCATTGTGTCTTACAGTTTTAAAAATCCAGCTATTTGAAAAATGTTTTTCAGTGTACCGTAGTGTCACCCCCCGCCTGGGTGCCATGGTCGTCTGTCACACATGAGCTCTACTATGTGGTACATCATGCAAAGCATTCAAAGTAAATACTCTTTGTCCGAGCGGCTCATCCGCACCATCTCAGCCATCCGCTCATTCCCACATGACAACGTGGAGGATCTCATTCGTAAGGTAGGTAGCAGCTCGTCTGTCAGTTTCACTTTAAATGAATAAAATCTCCCAGTCATCAGTCACACTGACATCATTACGCCCTCTGTGTTTAAGGGAGCTGATGTGAACCGGATGCATGGCACACTAAAGCCCTTGCACTGTGCGTGTATGGTCGCCGAAGCTGACTGTGTGGAGCTGCTGTTGGAGAAGGGGGCAGAGGTATGTCAGAGAAGACATCTACACACCGAACCATAAGATTCTAGATGAATCTGTTAACTTCTATACAGCCACAGTGTGATATGAATGACAACCTACAGAGAGATTAGCCTTGATTGAGATATTGTAGGTCAGGGGCTACCTAAGTTTCAGTAACCATGCCAGAGACGTGTGACCCCCCCTTTATCCTAAAGGATATTTATTTGAGCTAGTTTACAAAAAAAGGGATCATCAGTCTCGACATTTTGAGTGTCAAAAAACAAATTCAGTGGCTGCCAAACAGCTTGGAAAATTACTATTTTACAAATGTATCAATCCTATTAATACTTGTGTTTAATGCTGATAAAAAAATAGCAGCACTCTCTCAATTGGTATAGCACATTTGAAAAGCAGTGCAAGACCAATATGTGTAGACTTGCTTTTATTTATTTGATTTTATTGAGAAGCACTTTGGGACATGGTTTTGCTATGCAAATAAAATTCACTTAATTACTGAAGAACATTACCGGAAAACTATGACCTCAACCAGACCACCTCACCCTGACTTAGCACTTCATGTTGCTGCACTTATCTGAATCAAAATGAGAGCAGCACCCGAGACCTAATCATTTAATTTATTTGATTAACCTAATTAACATACGTCTGCTAAATACATTGACGTTATTTATCAGGTGAATGCTTTGGATGGATACAACCGCACTGCACTTCACTACGCTGCAGAGAAGGATGAGAGCTGTGTGGAGCTGCTGTTGGAGTATGGGGCCCAGCCCAACGCCCTGGACGGCAACAAAGACACTCCACTTCACTGGGCCGCCTTCAAAGATAACCCAGAGTGTGTGAGGGCCCTGCTAGAGAGCGGGGCCTGTCCCAATGCCCGGGACTACAACAATGACACTCCTCTGAGCTGGGCAGCAATGAAAGGCAACCTGGAAAGTGTCAAAGTGCTTTTAGACTATGGGGCCCAGGTACATGTGACCAACCTGAAGGGCCAGACTCCCATCTCCCGACTGGTGGCCCTGTTGGCCCGGGGCCTGGGTACTGAACAGGAGGAGGAGTGCCTTGACTTGCTGTGCCGGGCAGCAGGGCGGTTTGAGATCCGAAAGGCGGACGGCACCCTTCCCTGGGAGCTGAGTAAAGACCCCCAGCTGCTGGCGAGGCTGACCAACATGGTGGCTCAGGCTCCCACTCTGCGCTCTCTGGCGCGCTGTGCTGTCCGACAGAGTCTCGGAGTGCAGTTCTTCCCTGATGCTGTAAAAGAACTTCCTTTACCAGAGACAATCAAAGACTATCTTCTGCTGAGAGAGTGAGGGGATGAAACCACTACATGATCATTAGACAACTCATCGCACATTTACTGGCAAGAAATAGTTCCCATTTAGTTATAGGGTGATGGCTGACAGTGGCCCTCATTTATCAAACTTTTTGCAAATCAGTACAGATTTATGCACCTGCAGGAATGAACAAAACATTTTTGAAATTATGTAGTGCACAACATCTACCTGAGCTCTAAATTTCTTATCCCTCTTTTTTTGTCGAACGAAAATAAAACATAATTTAGGAGTAATTTCTGCAATGATGGACCTAATCATTGGACTTCTTGAAGCTAAGTGTGTCCCATCACCCAAGCTTTTTCAATGAGTTCCAACAGAGCCATTGATCTTTGCAATGCCAAAATTTACTAAATGTATTAAATATTCATTTTTTAAACTTAAATATGAGGGGGAAGTAATTATGCTAGTATGCTATTGTTGCTTGATGATGGAAAAAAGTTAAATATTAAGTTTGTTGGTAAAACTAGGATGTAAGATTAAATTTGAATGTAAGTTTAGGAATGAGGGCTCGTGTCTAATGTTTCAGGTTGTCTAGTAATTCAGTCAGAGGATGAGACCCTGATGTCTTGCTCTGGAGAAAATATTGAGTTGTTTGTGTTAGAGTTGGAGTGGCCATCTTTGTCCCAGTGCAGAAAATTTTGCAAAAACAAGGAAAAAAAGATAACTAACAGAAAAAAATAATTTTATCTATGTATGTATAATGTATAAGCAAAAAAATGTCTCAGAATATTATCATTTGAATGTGCCAGGCGGGCGTATCTTAACTCCTTCTAATTTTCACTGACGTCAACATGCCTGCTGTCATATGTGATTTAGTATTTATTTGGGCTCTGTTTTATTAAAGGAGTTGCAGTTGCCAAGATGGAATAAAAGTTGTTTTTTTAAAATATATATACATTGTATGTTTCCAGTTATAACAGGCAGGAGTTTGGGTTTTCGATGGGTGCTCACAGGTCCGACATTTTGCAGCATATGTTTATATTCTGTTTTAAATTAAATGTTTAAATGTTAGAACCATGAAATGACATGATTACTAAGTTTTCCTTGGAAAGATTCACTAAAATAGCTTGCAAAATGTGTTAAGTTTGTAAAAGTATCTGTAAATTCTCACCGCTTCTGTGCTTGATTTTGTTTTGCTTGTTCTGCAGATGTATAAAAATGAACCTCTTCCATCATGTCTTGTGTGCACCTGCAAAAGTGCTTTTTTTCTTCGTCAACGTAATGAAAGTAAATGCCTTTATATTCCATTCATTTTTTTATCTCCAATGTTATTTACAAAAAGTGTTGACTCATTTGACAGCTGGACTATTTTTAACCAATAAGAAAACACTGTTACTTTGAGGTTAGTGGTTGGATGTAACAAGTAAATTTACTTAGTTACTGTCCATAAGTACATTTTTCATGTACCCATGCTTAAATAGATACTAGTACTTGTAATACTTTAAGTATATTTAAAAGCATTTAGTTTGACTCACGTAGAAAAGTTAATGTGGTACTTTTGCTGTAGTATATTTTCCTCTATTCATCTATTCTAAAATGCTTGTGATTGATACTTTCCTCTGAATATCAAAGAATGATCAATCATTTTGAACTAAAAGTTGACACAAATCAATTAGTGACATCTTGGTGATATTTGGTTCAAAATGTGATGTTATGTTGTTCTGACACTAAAAATACCAGAAATAAACCAGAATTTACCTGAGCAATCCTCAACATTCAGAATGACCTACAGGGACAAAAATAAATGTTACAGTCATTACTGTGAAAGGCCAGCAGGTAATTAAATATGAGAAATGATGTAGTAACTCTTCAGTCAGAACTGTTACTTTGAGCCGTCTCCAAGAAATTCAAACATGGGACAGAAACCTATTTTAGGTCCTGAATGAACCTGTAATATAAGAGGGGTCAATGGTCGGGAACTCTTTTTTTTTTTACTTCGTAGGAACGGTGCTGAACTAAATCTTCCAAGAAAAATCGACAGATAAATTGCTGACTGCAACTTAAATTCTGTCTTTTGAAATGAAAAGCTTACTTCAACACAGTCAGTTCTCACATCATCCATTGGGGGTCTCTCCGGCCTTTCCTCTGAATCCACATCAGTTGGCTGGAAAAGCACGATCTAAAAGAGATTTCACTGAGATTTATATGTTTATATGTTTACATGTAGAAAGTTGTAGTGTTAAGTACTTGCAGTGCATCAGCTGGCTTTATATAATTTATACATTTTCAACAAAAGATATTTTGAATTAGTGTGATCTTTTGTTCAGTCGTTTTTTTAAATTACTAATATTTTTGACCTATTGTTTTAAGTTTGTACATGATGCTGTCATGTACTTCCACAATCAGGACGTTCACTTCCAGGGAGACAGAATAGGGTGAGAATATCAGGAAGGAAACCAAACTGAGGGGAAGAGGCCGCCTTTATTTTCTATGTTCATACAATGGCTTCAACAGTTTCCTTTAATTATGTGAAACGTGACATTAAATGCAACTGCAGAAGTGAAGTAAACAGAAAATATAATAGTAATAGATGTAATAGATGTTGTATTGGAGCTCCTTATATTCAGGGGTGTTTCCAATATTCTATAACATTATGTGAATCGGAATCATAAAAAATTCAAACGTACCTCTCAGTATAACGAAGTAACATCAGTGTTATTTTGATCTACCTGTCCTTTACCTGACTTTTTATATTTTCTGCTATTTTCTGTTTCCACTCAACGTCATTTCACTGGCAAATATTTTACTTTTTACTTGACTAAAGTTATTTTAAAGCTTGAGATACTTTAACAATTGATTGAAAAATAATATTCAATGAAAATTGGGATATATGATTTAGAATTGAAATAAGACTATTGATTTCTGGCTGGAAATGTTTACTACTTTAAGTGATTTCCACCTGTATCAAATGCAGTGATAAAGTGATGATGGAAACAATATATAGAATTCTAAGATGGAAACGTTGTACTTTTTAATGCAGGACTTTGTAACAAAGTTTTACTACACTGTGTTATTACAACAACTACTTAAAATAAATCCTCCTTTGTGAGGTCAGTGCTGTGATTTGTTTGTAGGTTTTTACTAAAATGTTTTTAGAGAGGGGTTAATCCAATGTTGATAATTTCATGGTGTTGTTTTAGTGAGTTGCATAAACAGAAAGGTATTTCTGTTATTCATTTTTCCCTTAGATGGGTTGAATTTAATAATAGAAAAACCAAAACCATTGCAAACTGCAGTCTCTGAAGTGAAAATAATTGGACAATGCCAGATCAAATATACAATTGATTCCCAACACTTACAGAATTAACATTGTATCTGTTATAATATTCATATTTATTGCAGGACTACAGGTATAACTAACTAAATATATATTGGATTATTGATTCAGTTCAGGATATTTCATTTTGCAATATCAATTTAGCTTGGAAATGTGCAAGGAAACCTCTAATTTGATGCTTTATTAAAAATATTAATGTGGGCTTGTCACGATAACAAATTTAGCTGGACGTTATATTGTCCCAGAAAATATTGAGATGAATGATATTATTGTTATCATATTGAAAACATTTTATACCACTGATAATATAATAGCATAATCATGCAGGCGGGCTACACCCTTTCAAAGAGCAATTCATGTAACGCTTGAGAATATTCAGTCTGACATTTAAATTAAAATTGAAAATATTAAAATATCCAAAATACAGAAATAAAATAAACCATGCAAAACCAAAAGATAAGATGAGATAAAACTTTATTGATCCAAAAACTCAGTTCGGTTGTTCGAGCAGCAGGCAGGTCAGAATGAGGTAGACAAGAGAATAAAGAAAATACAAAAGAAAGGCAATAGAATAAAAAGTAAAATAATAACATTAAACAATATATGTTCATTATATAGACGTTTTCACTGTAGTGGTTAGTATAAAATGTTATAAGTTAAGTGCAGAGGCATGGGATGATTGTACGAGCAAGTAAAGAATAAAGATGTTTTTTTCTGAAAACAATAAATACAGTGGACTCTCTGGCTCTGTTAACAAATAGCTCTTGAATGAATATGAAACATTTGGCTCAGTATACATGTCACCGGCTCAGTTAACAGGATGCTTATGATTTCCGTGAGCTTTTAGGTTTGTATTATATTATGTGTATTATAGAGTCTGGTGAAACCGCGCCCCCTGGAGGCCGAGAAAACCTGATGCAAATCCTCACAAGATCTGGTCTGATTCCCTCCCAGTGAATTACAATCAGACTGGATTTATAATCCACAGTTCATCCAGTGTCGGGGTTTCCAGAGTGGATGTGACTTCACAGGAGGAATATCCTTTAAACAAGAGTGATGACATGAGAGCACTCAGGAGCACCGGTCCCTGCGAGGACACATGTTTTAACGTGAACTCTCGCGATAGCTCGACGTCGACGAGGGGAGTGTCAAATTCCAAGAGAGGAGAGGAGAGGGGATCCAGAGAGAGAGAGAGAGAGAGAGGGGCGCAAGGGTGAGTTTGTAAACACTTTATTACCATTTCAACTCTCCACACTTCTGTCGACCACTCTCAGCTAAAGTCAAGGAGCAGCCGCTGCGACACTTTCACACTTTGTCGTCGCGAAAACTGCGTGAACTAGTCCGACCTGCTGCTGCAGCTGCACTGGGACCCGTGTCTGTCGCTAAGTGTCAGTCCGCTAACCACACCACTGCTAGCTGTGCTAACAGCTCCTGCTCGCTAACAACCCGAAAACACACCACTCCACCTCGGGTGCGAACCCCCGCGTGTCCGCCGCCACCGCAGAGTCCGCTCGTAGCGCTGTTATTACTCTTTTCCAATGTGCGTTCGGCCTGTTGTTAAAGCTAGCCATGCCAGCTAGCCATTAGTTTAGCGTGGATACAAAAAAGTTTATTCCAGGCGTTTAACCAATGAGATTCAACCAGCCCGTGTTATTGACAGGGCGTCGAGCTGCTGCGTGCTTCAGACGCCGTTGAATGACGCGCTTGCAGCCAATTGCTGAAAAGAAAAGGCGGTCTTGTTACGGGAAAAGGCTGGGCTAAGTGTGCCCGTCCGTAGCCAGGAGGTAATGGAGGCTAAAAAAGACTAGACAAACTTTTTTCAAGGCAGTGATCGCTGCCCGGTGAAAATGTCTGCAGGAGCTTGAGGGGGTTCACTGCCACACAGGCGACCTCGACCTCATCTCCACGTGCCCCCCGAAACCCCAGGACAACATCTGCCCGTCTGGTTTTTTTGGCGGTAGAATATTGTGCGATGATAATCTGGCTCTGCAAAGAACAGCCCTCAAAGGTCTCGAGTAATAATGATATCCATAGTATTGCAATTTGAGCTGCCTGACGCCCTAGGATCCGTATCCCCGTGCATGTCAACACCTTCATTAGGAATGTAGGTCATGTTTTTGGCAGAGTTGTGCCTCATTCCATCACATGTAAAAGTGGTAAACTAGAGAGATCTGCAGCCTGCACCGTCCAACCCGACACCTTGACCCACTCTCAGTAATTACATATATTCCATGTAAATGTCTTTGCATACGTGCTGTATCTATACGTGTGTGTACATGTGTTTATGCATGTATGTGGTTGATACATATGCAAAATTCTTGTTGATTTAGCAGCAGAGGCAAAACATCAATTTTGTCTTTGTACTTGTGAGAACCAAAAACCTTACGAGTGCATGTACTGTCGTGCTTTAAACAACTGCCTTGGGTCCATCCTGCATTGTCCAGCATTGTCTGCTGGTTGGACATGGACTTAGCTTTTAGGACTTGTTGGTTATGCAGACATGGATATAGGATTTCATTTGTTCCATTTACAAAATCTCAAGTTCACTTTGCTTACACAAATACGCATTGGTTGCACACATCCAGTTACAGACTCGATCTCTAGGTCTCTAAAGCTTGTAGCCCACATTTCCAAGAACTCACCTTTCTTTCCTTTTCTTCTTCCTTTTCATTAATTCACAGTTTCCCTATTTCCCTCTCTCTTTCCCCCTCCCTTTTCTCTTTTTGTTTTTGAGGGGTCTCCCCTACCCTCTGGCAATTCAAGCCTCAGATTCCATAGTCATGGCTGCAGCACAAGCTATTAATACAGTTTGTTTAGTCAGTTTCCTAGCAGGCTGCATCAAACACTGGATGGCTGTGGCTGATTATAGCTGGGACTCGTTCCTGTACACCTGCTGAGTCGGAGAAATCCAAGTAAACGCGAGACTTTGGCAGCGGCTCAATGAGTGGGTCAGGAATTAGGGCACTTTGAGTGCTTCCATGTCACCTTGGTGTTGAAAATCGCTGGTCTTGATGTCTGTGCCTGTAATGAATATCAGTGATGCATCAGGACTAATTTAGCCAGGAAACTGATTTATTGTCTCTCAGTGTTGAGGTCTGAATGAAGCAGAGCATTTTGCAGTGTGCTGTTGCTGAATTTATTCTCAGTGACACATTTGACAACCAAAGTAGTAAATAACCAGAGACAGTTTTTGTGTAGAGCTGCAGTTTTTGAAGATGTCCTTCAAAATAGATTGCCTTACCACAAAACCAAGCAACAGATGCTGAATAAAAGACACATCTGCTTTAATCAAGCTAATGTATTGTTTAGGGGCGTCTGTGAAAACAAATAGGGTTTTCTGCCCCTGTCATCTGGAGTTTATGGTGGACTTCCTACAAGATCAGATCCCAGATTTCATGTTGGTACCAGCCAGCCAAGTTAATGTCGAGCATGTCTTCAGAAGATGTAAACTCAGAATCTCTTTCCCCTCCTCACGCCAGATGTGTCCACTTCCCCACACAGTCCACACCCTTGGTATAACGAGCTAGATGGAGTATCTCGTTTGCAGACACATATCTGTCCAAATAGACTTAGTGGATTGGAAGCACTTTGGCACTGATCTGTTGTCTTTCTCCAGAGCATGGGAGGTCTGAAGGAATCAGACTGCTCTGCCTCATCAGCCCTTTGATCAGGAAAGAGAGGGATGGGGCTTTCGCTTACAAACACAATGCACACCGCTTTCCTCATAAAAACATGGAGCTGAGCGACACAGCAGTTACTGGAGGCCTGTTACAGGCCCGGTGTCATGGGAGAGCGTCGTATTCCAGCGCAAGGCTTCAGTAATCATGTGTTGGCTCAGGGGCAGCTGTCGACGGAGGGAGGAAGGAGGAAAATGTACTGACTTCAACATTGGGAAAGCTTTCAGACATTTATTCCTCGCCAACATAATGAATAATCTGTCCCACTTAATAATGTAAGGCTACATGCTCAACCCATGTAGTTTTTACTACTGAGATCAGTTGCTCGGAAATATTGCAATTGTAAACATGTTTAACTTTTTAGTTTGTGGAATCTGCATATTTTTATTTGGATAAAGCACAAACTGTTTTTTGTGAACAAACAGGATTAAAAAACAAGTCAAGACATGACAGATGGATGGAGGCTATCCTGTCAAATGATCACAGTCGGTAAATATTCAGGAAAGATATGTAAGACGTACATGTTGAGAGGCTATTATTAAATCATTAAGGTCGAACTTTATCCCTGCTCATGAGTGTGTTTCAGCTGCACCTTATTGACTATTGCAATAATCAGTGGCTTTTGTTTATTGAAAGGTTTCCACTTGTATATATAGTGAGGTCCTTGATGCATGTTGGTTGCTGTACTGTCAGTGGGGCTGTGTTGTGTAATAGCCGCCAGACGTCACTTTGGGCCAGCTGAGAGCGCTAAAACATTAATGTCCCTCATCCATCGCCATCGCCACCCCTCCAATTCCCTGATTTAAATTTAATGACCATGTTATTTTTCTAAACTTCCTAGTTTGTCTTCACATTGAGGGGTTCCTCGGCTGTGCAGACTAGTGCAGGGTCGGGTGGAGTCTGGGACAGGGTTGAGGCAGGAGGAGGGGGTGGTGAGGAGTTGTTCTCCTCTGTGGAAACAGCTGATAGACGCCTCGCACAGCTTTAGTTTATGTCAATGCAGCTTCAGGCCCAACAGGAGGAAAAAACAAACAGAAACATGTGCATATTTAACTCCTGACAATAGCGTGTGCTCGGGGAGAGGGTGGGCTGGGGGTGGGGGGGACCTGTGGAAAGCTTTGGAAGGGTTTCCAGTGCGCTCAGGTGTTGAACAGTGTATTGCAAAGCTTTATACTTTGTTAACAACACACTAATGAAATCCTGAGAAAATCAGAAGTGAGGGATTTTCTATAACTTTCACGGTAAATTTCGATGTTATCAGTTTATTGTGATAAAGAGGCCAAATCATACTGTCCACTGGCAGCAACAATTAGGTTTTCATTGTAATGGCCAGTCAGCAGAGGTACATGCCAGAGAGACATGCACATTGTTGTCTTAAAGTTGTCATTTCCTGGACTTAAATTGCTTTGGAGTTACCAATTTCAAAACTAAGTTGAGTGATCTGTTTTGAACACATAAACACTTGTACTCTATATTACTCTATTAATCAGTTAATAAATCGATAGAAAATTGTAAAAAAAAGTGTCTACAATGGTTTCTCAAAGTCCAGGATGATGTTTTTAGATGTTTTGTTTTGTCCGACTAACATTTCATAACCTATAGATAAGATCTAAAACAGATAAAAACAGGAAATGTCATTCAAGAGAACAGCTTTTTCTTATTTTTGCGTGTAAGATTACTTTAACGATTAATTAATGATCAGAATAATAATTGCAACTTGTTTTTATCTCGATCAAGTAATTGATTACTCAAGGGTTAGTGCTTGCAGCTCTGTATGAGAGCACCAAAATTGCATTGTGTGTACAGACTGAGTTAAACATTTCATTATATTTCATTCATTTTATTAGTAATCTCCACACAGAAGTTAGAGTCAACTAGAACCACAAGTACAAGTGAGGTACAGTGTCAGGTCAGTGTGAATGTACTGTGGATTCACATGAGAGTTCATAAAGATCAGTGAAACAGAAACTGTGCAGAGTCAGAAACAGCTGAATCAGAGAGAGGGAGACACTGACTGAGGGGTTTCAAGAATGGAATAGGTTGAGTGGTGCAGGAGAAGTGTGAAACAGGAGTGGCAATGAGAGAAGGAGGGATTGGACGTGAGGAAAAACGAGACACAAGGAGAAGGAGGAGATGTCTTTGTGTAAATGGTAGCTGCCGTCCTCTTTTGTAAGCGGCTCCTCATTGGCCAGCCAGAAGCCCCCCTGTGTGAAGGAAGTATCACCAGGGAAACTTCGTCTTGCTGCCTCTGTGCGTGTTTTCCTTTTTGCCAGGGTTATTTTTAAATAGCATTCGGCTTCCTGCTCAGACTAAGGACTACAAGCCACAGCATCCCTGTTTTGTTGTTTTCAGGATTTTCCACTTCAGAAATCAAGAAAAGCCGCAGCAATGTTCTCCTCTTCTCCTTTCCCACAGCTACATTGCAAGCTCTTTGCAAAAATGGGGGACGACCGACCTTTTGTGTGCAGTGCTCCTGGCTGTGGACAGGTAAGTCCTCTCCCTCCCTCTCCTGCTTTCAGGTGTGTGCATGTGGATGTGGTGCGGAGTGTTCTTGCCTTTGTGTTAGTACTCTCCAACAGCAGGCTGCAACTGCTTACGGTTGAACATATTTTCCGTCTAAAAGAAAATTAACAGCAAGCAATAAAAATGAATCGTACTTGACATGAGACTTTCTTTATTTGAGTATAAAAAAAGCTTCATATATATACAATGAGCAAACCCGAAGACCGTGAAAGAACATGTGTTCTGCCAACAAACTTGTACTTCCTGCCAGAATTACCTAACTAACTGTGATTTATGCTGCACTCTTGAATGATCATCACACCAATAGCTTTCAAGCTAGCATGTAGTCTTGTGAGACAATGCTGTCTCCTCCAGCCGTGACTCAGTGGAAGCTCCAATGAGTAATCAGAGCGCAGTTATTGTTTCAACCTGTCACTGTTGACTTCTAGTGCCTGCAGACACAGGTTTGAGCCGCGGCAGTGACTCAGCTGAGTGCCAATAGTGTGCTCACATGCCAGTAACGTGGTGCGTTGTCGGGACTTGGCCTGAAAACACAGCATATTAAAAGAAGTGTGTCCTAGGACTCACGATTATTCAACACAGGAAATATCATGTCTAATGTTGTGCTCAATCAGCCGTCTGACACTGTGTGCAGCAGGGTGTGATATCCATACAGCGATGGATTGTCTCTCAGGGGGTCTGGAGGAAGAAAGAGTTTATGCGGTTTAGAAACATTTGTTATTAGTAAGCCCACCTCTGATTACAGGGGATCTGTTGGACACGTGGTCTGTGGTTTGAACATTAAAACATGTGTGTGTTGGATAAATAAGTGAGGATTTTGTTTGGTTTCTTTCTTCTCAGAATATTATGGACAACTGGGGACTCCTTCCTTGATAGAAAAAAAAGACATTTTAACTTTCCTTTGACATGTTTATGTGGCATAAATACTCTGCATATTTCATAGGTAGACATCATTATTTATTTAGTTGACAGTTAAAGCAAAAGAATCCCATGGAAGCGTTTCAAGGCAAAGTGACAGTCGATGAGGGTGTGGGTCTACAGCTGCGGCCCTCTCCTCAGCTTTGTTTGACTGTTAAACTCTTGTATAAACAGGCCTGGGAATCGTAGTATGGTGAGATAGTGCTCGATGTTTGGGTGTGTTTTTGATATCACCACCTTACTTTGAGCAATATAAATATTTTTTCATATAAATTTACAATTCAATCTAGAATGTAAAAGCATGAATTACTTTTCTTAATACTTAAAGGGCAGCAGAATACATTTAAAACACCCTCAGGGAAATATCTGACTCTGAAGCTGATAAGTGCTCCATTAAGTTCATGAGCGTTTGTTGGTAACATTTGTGTTACTGATGTTTTGATGAGGACGATAAAGTACAGTGGATTTATTATTGGATTATCTGAGTGAATAATGCACTCTGTGCAGCTCGACATTGAAATAAGATTTTATTTAATTATTATGTGGCGGTCAATTTTGATGTTGCAGCTGCCACAAATAAATCATTGTAAAGGAAATAGCAAACGTTATATCATTCACCTTAGGTGTCACTATACATATTGGAGACGAGAAATTCTATACTGTTACTTATGGCTGTAACTGGCCTTTAGTTTGATAATAAATTGTGTACATTTAGACACATAAGCGTCATATGTCCAAATACTGTTTTACTGCTGCCCTTTAGAAGCAACAGTTGTCTACCAGGAAAGTCTGAATCATGCCCATAATAGAACATGGGTGATTGACTCCTGGCTTTGCTTTGGGTTTTCCTTTTAACAACAACAGCAACAACAACAGCAGCAGCGGCAGTCCCCCATTTTATGATGCCCAGTATTTAGCATGCGGTGAAGGGTAATCTGAGCTGCCAGTATCTCATACAGGGGAGATTAGCCGGATAGATAGTTCTCTCCACAAGACCAGCCGCCTTGTTCAGAGGAAAGAGACAAATGAGACATGTAGTTGTATTGGTGATGCTGCCTGGCAGGGCTAAAAATAAGTCCCATGACACTTGACTGTGTTTCCACTTCACTCTCACGACTGAACTCGCAACTGCTACGCGGCGCCCTAAAATAGGCTGCAGCGAATGGTGAATAGTCTGGTGCCAGAGCCAAGATTATTCCTCCTACGTCTTTGACTTATTCGCCTCGCCACTTCTCCAAAGAAGAAGTGGCGAGTCTCAGGGGCAGGATGGCTGTTGGTGTTCTGTAGCTTCCACTCTGGATACCTGATATTGCACAACAGGACATGTAGATTAATGTAGAGCCTCACAGAAATACAGAAAGTTTACTGCATCCACATTTAGTCATTGTTGCACAATAAGATCCCTTCTGTAAAAATATCACAGTTGCATTTCAAGCTTTTGTTTTGATGTGTCAGCTCATATTTGGTATTTTCCCATGCTAGAAGTTTTTACAATTTTTCATAATTTTGTTGACACTTAAAACAATTGCCCATACTTGACATTTCTGTGGTGCTTAAATAATTTCAGGGCTCATCCATACAAGCCCTCTTTCTTTTTTCTCTTCAGATTGAGGTAGATGTAAGGATATTTGAGCCTGTATCCTGCGGCTATAGAGGGCTCATACAGGGTTTTTTAAGACAGGAGGAATTGTACACGACAGATACAGTTTTCTTTGTGGTTCCTCACATAATGCACATTGTATAGGCTGCGTGTGTTGGGCTACATCTGGGAAAGATTATCTGTCTGTGGCTATTGCAATATGATATCCGGGTTAAGAAACTATTGGCTGTTTCTTTAGGTCAACAGAAAAAATAGACAATTAGCTCCAAGCTAATTTATATAATGTACTTATCTTTCTTCTTATCTTCTCGCTCACTTGTTCCAGAGGTTTACCAATGAAGACCACTTGGCCGTACACAAACACAAACATGAGATGACACTGAAATTTGGACCACCCAGGACCGACTCTGTCATTATAGCAGGTATTCTTTGTTTACCAGACAAACACTCAGCTTTTCTCCTCCTCTTTGTTTCATATCTACTCCCGTCATTCAGATGAAAACTGTTTTAGCTGACCTCGGCTCCAGCGTATTCCAACACTGTTAATACAATCTTAAGAAATGCAGCCTCAAATCTTTGACATTGGTTTCTATATTCATATCTAAGTGTGAACCATGTGTGAAACTGTCACTTATAGTCATCTGTGATCATTTCCATTTGCCAGACCAGACACCTACTCCCACTCGCTTCCTAAAGAACTGTGAGGAAGTTGGTCTGTTCAATGAGCTGGCCAGCTCCTTCGAACAAGACGACGATGAAAAGAGGGCTAAGAACTCTGTAAGTAAGGCATGGGGTTGATGAACTCTGTGTTTATTTCTCTCTGCGTGCAGGTGTGTGTGTGACTGCATGTATCTATGCATGTATTACTGTGTACAGAGGCTAAGGGAATTTTCAAGAAAGACTCCCTTGAAGTGAACAGTCATTTTTTACTTCCTTCTTTCTTACCCTATGCATTAATGTAGTAAAAAAATATTGCCTGTAGAAATTCCCGACCTGTTGCTTCTACAATTGCAACAATTTGTGAGGGTGATTTTATAAAGTTTTACTTTTGTACAGTGCTTTTTAAATATTGTTGCATGAATTGAAGCTCTGGTTGTTTGGTCTGAACAACTTTTTGTTCAGTAAAATACCTACTTCCTGTTTTGTACTGTGGTCCGTGAGAATGTTATCTTTGATAAGTAGCGTGAGCTTACTACCTGTATTTCTGTCTCCACATCCTTCTCAGCTCCCTGCTGCCAACTCTGTGGCTTTGGACATGACCCTGCAGACACCATCAGAAGTGAAGGTGAAGGAGGAGGAACCTGTAGAGGTCGACTCTTCGCCACCAGACAGCCCCGAATCTATCTCTGGACAGTCTGACAGCAGCCGAGAGCCTCTGGTTAGAGGAAAGGTAGGAGAGAACTGGAAGTAGGGGATGAGTGGATAAATAACAGCATGAACCTCAAATAATGTTGAAAGAGTATGGCTCATTATACATTCAATTATAATTGTACAGTGTTAGATAAAGGAAGGAAACCACCTTTTCTTTTTTTACCTGAGAAATGTGATGCCAGACATTAAAAAGCAGTCTTGTTTTTATAAAATGTGTTTTCCCACACTTATGTCCTAGGACACCCCCCCTAGGAGTTCAGCCCCCACCCCTACTATTGTGCGTCCAGGTTCCCTCCCATTACACCTGGGCTTTGATGCCCTCCAGCCCACTATGCCATCACCGACCTCTGTTATCACACAGGCGCCACCCTCCAGTCGAACTCTGGGGTGAGTAATGCTCGGTCAACGTCCTTCTCCTTAACTATTCTGACCTTTTTTGACCCTTTTGTGTGTGTGTGTGTGTGTGTGTGTGTGTGTGTGTG